CAGTGCCTTGTATTACAAAACATACAGATAAAAACACTCAAATCAATGACAAGTTATAAGGACTCAGTGTAGATCTCAAAGGCTCCCACGAGAGCAGTCACTGTTCTACTGATCAGTTCGCCTGGGAAGGGAGATGGCTGTCACTGACTCTGTAACAGATACGAGAATGGCCTGTGTGCTGCCCTTGCCCCACTCACACTTTTCCTGTGGACTGGCGCTTGAGTCATGTGTGGGCCTAACATCAAAAAGATGCTGGCTACTGCCCAATATACCCACCCCCCACCCCAGCCCACCCCCACCATTCCCTCTGCAGCTCTCAGGCCAGGCCATGTCTTGGGTAGGACCCAGCACTGGGGCTTACTTTCTGACATTTCCTTCCAAAAGCCTTTCTCCTCCCCCTGATTATCTCTGTACCTGCCACTATCAGGTCACCACACAGTACCACAAGTTTCTGCATTGGCTCGCAAGCTGTCAGCCAAGAAGGGGAACTTTGCAAGCAAAAGAGTCAGGCACAAATGTTGTTGGTGCCCCAATTCCTACTAAGGTTTATGAAGGGCTCTGAAAGAAAGTACTACTCTCACAAAAGGGTTAGATGAATAGGAACCCACCCTACACCCACACAAACAAATGCAGGGCCATCGAGTTCATTCTAACTCACGGAGAGGCTCAGTAGGGTTTCTGAGACTACAAATGTTTATGGGAGCAAACTGTCTCACCCTGCTTCCACAGAGCGGCTGGTGGATTTGAACTGCCAACCTTGGAGTTAGAAGTCTAATGCCTAACCCACACCACCACCAGGGCTCCTCAGTTGTTTCTAGAGTTGCTCTAAAATAATAATTTCTAAATGCACAGGGAGAAGAACAAAGGTCTGCAAAATTCAGAGGAGAGAGAAACCCCTTACAACTATATATAGAAAGCTCCCCGGAGGCAGTGTAGTTTGGGCTGTCAGTTGAAAATGAGTAGGAACTTGCAGGGCTGCCATGGTGAATCCGGCCCCTGGGGTTAAAGGAAAGCACGTACATATGGATATGCAGAAAACAGAAAGTTGAAGGCTGGTTTGTGAGACCACAAAGTCCCCTTTTGGCTGGTGCACCTGAGACAACAGGGGGAAAGCAGGACATATAAACCAATTGTGATCTTGAACTCCTACTGAAAGAAGCTAGATTCAGGGCAAGATATGACAAAATAACAATTTATAAACTATCAAGGGCTCATGAGGCAGGGGGGAGCGGGGAGGGAGGGGAAAAATGAGGACCTAATGTCGGGGGTTTAAGTGGAGAGAAAATGTTTTGAGAATGAAATACAAATGCGCTTTACACAATTGATGGGTGTATGGATTGTGATAAGAGTTGTATGAGCCCCTAATAAAATGTTTAAAAAAAAAAAAGCTAGATTCAGCTTTAAAATAATCATTAAGGGGAAGCTCTAAGGATATTTTTAAAGGGAGTGAGATGATTCTAATAGTTAAATTTATTTCTATGCCATATAATTCAAAGCCTAAAAAGCGTCGAAGAGTATATACAGTGAAAAATACCCCTTCCATCTTTGTCTCCCAGACACCTAATTGCTTTCCGAAGGGCAATTATGTATCAGTAGTTTATGTATCTTTCATGAGATGCTTTCTGCATATCCAAGCAGTCACATATGGGTATGTATTCTTTTCTTCTCCCTTTCATATCAATGGGAGCACCTTGTGCTTTTTTCATACATCAGCACATCTTAGAGAGCTTTCCATTCAGCTATTTGATTCTCTGTCTAGGTTTATGGTACTATAATCCATTGTTTGGACTTGCCAATAATTTATTTAGCCAGTCTTTTAAAACAGGTATCTATCTAACTTGTTTCTAGTCTTTACTATTAAAACAATACTTCCAAAGTTACCTTGAATAGGGCTTGTGAGGGAGGGAGGGCAAGGGGAGGGAAGGAGAAAATGAGGAGCTGATACCAAGGGCTCAAGTAGAATGAAAATGCTTTGAGAATGATGATGGCAACAAACGTACAAATGTGCTTGACACAATGATGGAAGTATGGATTGTAATAAGTGTTGTACGAACCCCCAATAAAATGGTTTTAAAAAAAGTTTCGTCACTTCCACATGTCTGCAAAATGTATTCCTGGAAGTGGGGATGAGTGCTCAAAGGGTTATGCATACTTGCAATGGTGATAAATTTTGCCTGTTGCCTTCCTCAGAGGTCGTACCAACTTACACTCCCAGTATCACCAGCAAGGAAGGAAGCCTGTTCCTTCACACCTTTGCCAACACAGTATGTTTCAGAATTCCAACTCTGCTTTAGAACAATTCATCAGGTTGTGTGCAGAAGCGGAAAACCTCATTTATATTTAAATTTGGAAGAATACAGCATATGCTCTTTGGATAAATTTACTTTAGGAGAGGTAATTTTAAAGCTACATCTCTCCATACGCCTAGATAAAAGTTCTCTCGTTTGTTGTAGTCCCCAACCATTCCATCCCCTGGTTCTTAGGTGAGCAGGTATGAACTGGTAAAGAAAGAGGGAAATGACCTGGGGAAAGGCAGGTATCATCACCACGCCTCGACAGTGCCAAATCAGAAGGAAGGGCTCGTAATTGGAAAGAGACAGGCTCAGGTAAGGGAGATGCCCACAGTAGCCTCTCAGACGTCAAGAAGCTCCATCAACTGCTGGAAAAATAGCCATCTTCATTTAGTAAGAAACCCATGGAAAATAATTTCCAATGAAACATAGATTTCTTGCCCCTCCCCCCAGAAGAATTTATTTCAAAGGATGGCATTGAATCTGCAGCTCCGGGAGAGGGACATACCTGATAGGAGCACAAGGGAGATGATGAAGGGGGAAGAAGAGAGAGTGGACCACATCCTGGCCCACCAGGCTGATAGGACAATGTTCCCAAGTAGAGCAGCCAGTCCACAGAGAGGACCAAATGGCCAGCCCCACTATGAGACATGGCGCCCCTTGCTGACCCATAGCCCTGCGGGAAACAGCACTGGAGACACAGTGTGGGAATTGCACCCGATCTGATCCCGCCATACCGAGGCAAAACACTAAGGGAGTGCAACAGCACAGGAAGGGAACGGAGTGGCGAGGTCCCCAGGGAATGCTGAAGGTGGACTTTGGTGTCAGGGCGTGGTGCCCCAGCAGACCTGACAGAAAAACACTCCTAAAGGCCAACAAACA